TGTTTTGTGTCCCAGAATATGGTCTATGTTTGCAAATGGCCCATCTGCACTTGAAAAGAATTCTGTTGTTGAGCAGTGCCATGTGCATAATTTTGTATGTGACAAAATTACCAGCCTGTAATGTGCTGGAGTTTTCTCAAGTTCTTCACTGAAGACCAGTGCTTCCCAGTCTATCTGTAACTCACAGCGGGAGACTGTTCCCATTTGTCTTAGTTGTGTGCCTTTTTTTCATTATCTCAGAAGTCATGCTTTCCTCCCCACCTGAGATTCAAGGGGAAGGGTAGTAAGGAACTTGAGGGTCTTTTTTTTTAAACTCCCACAGATAATGACACTGATTTTCCAGGCTTAGAAATGTATTAGCTCTCACAGAAAGAAAGAGACCAATTCAGTGTGTAAGGGAGACAGATCCATTTTTACTAATCATATGATTTTCCTGAAAGTTTGGTACCAGTGTGACAAAAGAGGAATACTTTGTACTTACTATAACCTCTTAAATATAAACAAAAAATACTGTATTTTATCTGACCATCAACATTTCTATTACCTGAAGTATTTCTTGTCACTCTTTATTTAAAAAGGCATGTAGTGTAAGGTCTTGCCATTGTCCCCCATTGCCCAGTTCTCTTACCCCCACCCCCAAATTTAAAACAAACAAAAAACACACAAAAAACCCCCGAGAAAGCTGATGCTTTTAGGTTTTTGTTGTTGTTTTAAATATGTTTTTATTGATTTCAAAGAGAGGAAGGGAGAGGGAGAGGGAGAGAAGCATCAATGATGAGAGTCATTGATCAGCCGCCTCCTGCACGCCGACTGGGGATCGAGCCCGCAACTCAGGCATGTGCCCTGACCGGGAATCGAACCGAGATCTCCTGCATCGTAGGTCATGCTCAACCCCTGAGCCACACCAGCCAGGCATTGTTTTTGTTTTTTAATTCTCACCCAAGGATATGTTTCCATTGACTTTAGAGAGAGGAAGAAGGAAAGAGAGAGAAAAAAAATCTCTGTGAGAGGGAAACACCCATCAGTTCTCTCCCATGCTGGGATTGAACTCACAGCCTTTTGGTATCTGGGGCGATGCTCCAACCCACTGAGCCGCCCAGCCAGGGCTGCTGCTTTTAGTTTTTGAAACCCGTCGCAGACTTTTATAACAATAATATTCCATTGAATAAATATAGCATCATTTATTCTGCTCCCTGCTGGTGGCTTACGGTCTTTTGCTATTATAAACAATACTTCAATAAATGGCCTTATACATTCACAATTTCTCATAAGTAGGATACATTCTTGGTTAAAGTAACAAGATGGCACTTACATCTTTCATTTTGATAGCTGCTGATACGTTATGCTCCTCAGGTGAACAGGTTTAAAACCCACACGTGAGCCCACCAGTGGTGCCTGAGGTTGCTGGTTTGCCCTTGGCTTTGCTCTCAGATGTTGTCATCACATGTTTTTACCTTTGCCCATCTGGTAGGTAAAAAAATGATAAATTGGTGCACTTTTATCTTGCGTTTTTCTTAAGTAAGATTTTCATTTGCTTAAGGATCATTTTTCTTTCATTTTCTATGACTGTCTTAATATTCTTTGCCTATTATCTTTTTTATTGAATCTATTGGGGTGACATTGGTTAATGAAAATATGTAGGTTTCAGGAGTACAGTTCTAATACATCACCTGTATATTGTATTGTGTGCTCACCACCCCAAGTCAAGTCTTCTTCCATCACCATTTATCCCCCCTCTACCCTCTTCTACCTCCCCCAACCCCTCTTTGCCCATTTTGAAATTAGATGGTCACTCTTTTCTTACCTACTTCCTAAAAGAATAACAAAGGCTGCCCTGACCAGTTCTGCTCAGTGGTTCATCATCGGGCTATGGACTGAAGGGTTGCGGGTTCCATCCCTGGCCCTGGTCACGAGGCAACCAATCGATGTGCGTTTCTCATATGATGTTTCTCTCTCTCTCCCCCCCATTCCTCCCTCCCTTCCACTCTCTCTAAAAAAAAATCAATTAAAAAACTATCCTCCAGTGAGGATTGAAAAAAAAAAAAAGACTAACAAAGGCTCTTTGTTATTTTTGTCCTTTCTTTAAAAAAACTTTCAGGGATGGGGAGATGCCTCAGGGTAAGTGATGAAAGGCGCAAAAAGCTAAGGCACTAAAACATGACTAAATGCTAAATAAATTAAATGCCCTAAATCTTCTGCTCATTCAGCTACAGGTATTGGGCTCTAAGGCTGGTTTTATCTAAAAATTTTAAAAGACCTACAAGGTTTTATAATTGAGGAATAAAGCCTAACTCACAAAGCGATGTTGACGTCCCCACCCATCTTTGTTATTTTTTTTTATTAGAAAAGGCTAACAGTTACAAAAAGAAATGCTGTAAAGTTGTTCTAAAACTATTACCCAAGCCCTGGCCAGCGTGCTTAGTGGTTACAGCATCGGCCTGTCTACCAAAGGGTCGAGGGTTCGATTTCTGGTCAAGGGCATGTACCTGGGTTGCAGGTTTCCGGCCCTGGTTGGGGTCAGTGTGGGAGGCAACCAGCTGACGTGTCTCTCTCACCCTAATGTTTCTCTCTCTCTCCCCTCCTCCCTCCCACTCTCTCTAAAATCAATGGAAAAAATATCCTCGGGTGAGGTTTAACAAAAAAATCAAAAACAATAACAACAACAAAAATTATTACCCATTATAATCCTTGGACATCACATTTTGTTTTTTGTTTTTTACATTACAATTCTCATTTGTACCTATATTAAATAGTGGTATCATAGTACATAGTATTATTTTCTCATAATTTTGCATAATTTATTATTTAATAAATTTAGTAATCATTTATTCATATAACTGATTTTTAATGACGACATTAAAATGTACTATAATTGTTAAGGTGTTCCCTAATTTGGGACACCTAGGTTGTTTTTATATTTTTGCTCTTACAATTAATACTACTTTGAGCACCTTCCTTCATTTTTCTTTTTTCTTCTGTTGAATTGTTTCCTTAGGATAAATTCCCGAGTAGCATCGTAAGGTTAAAGAGTATGAGCATTTTCGTAGATCTTTATATGTGTTAACATGTTATTTTCCAAATGTCAAGGGTACTGGAACCACACAACGAACGACGTGCCAGAGCCAGGGCTGGGCGGTGTCATGTAAAGAAGATGCTCTTCTTTTAGTAGATAAACAACCAGTATATCATGGTTATGTTGATTTTCATGTCTTTATTTAGTAACCACTTTTTTTTTAAGGTTTTCATGCGTCACTTTAAATGACTTTAACGTATTTTGCCTTGCCCTTCAACTGCTCTCCTAGGCAGCTGATGTTGGTCAGGAGTTGTGCACACATTTTTGTGACCCGTTGTTTGTGTGGTTCAATACCCTCCCCTCCTCCTCTCCTGAATGTTCATTCTTAGTCAGGGACAAGGGGCCACTCTGCACTCAGCCAACCACTTGCCTCCCTGCCACTGCTGAGCCAATCTCTCTCTGTATCTTTCTGTTGTGATCTCATTTAATACTTTTATTCATTTATCTTCTAAACAAATCATTCAGTGAGGCTCATACCTCTCCATGGTTTCTATTATTATACATTTGTCCTTGTTGTTTTATTTATAAATGATTAATTTATAAGGTGGCAGCACCTGGCCAGAAACCCATCCTCTCCCCAGGTCTTACCTGCTCAGCCTTGCACACTCTGTGTTTCCAGAGCCAACTCCTACCCCTTCCTCTGCCGCCCTTCCACACCTTCACCATCCAAGAGGGTCCTTCAGTCTGGAATTTCTTGTCTCTTTCAAAACATTTTGGATCCATATTACTTTTATTTTGCTGGGTAGAAAATCTTACACTTACTAGGTTAAAACAATACAAATTTGTTATGCCACAATTTCCTTGCATCAGGAGTCCAGGTACAGATCGTTCGGGTCTCGTGCTCAGTGTCTCAACAGGTTGAAACAAAGGTGTCAGCAGGTCTGGGTTCTCGCCTGGAGCTCGGGGCCCTCCTCTGAGCTCATTCAGGCTGCTGGGAGAATGCATTTCCTGTGACTGTGGGAGTGTGAGGTTCCCGTTTCCTTGCCCAGCTCCTGAGGCCTCCCTCGGGTCCCAGCCACGCGGCCCTCTCCTTCACGTCTGCTCGCTTCTCCTAGTCGACAGGAGCATCTCTCTCCCTTGCTAAGATGGACTCGCATATAAGGAACCTAATCACAGAGTGAAATTCCATTCCTTTCTCAGTCCAAGGGAGGGATTGCACAGGGCGTGTGCCTGGGGCAGGAACCTTGAGGCCGGCTCGGCCTGCCCGGGCCCCTGCTCAGCCTTTGGCGTGCAGTTGGAATCGTTCCCTCCCTGAGCCCTGGCCGCAGTGAGGCCTCCCAGCAGCAGGAGCCGCCCCCTCGCCCTCTTCATAAGCAGCGCCTACCTCCTCTGTCGCGCTCTGCCTCGGATGAGCTAGAGACCCTCCGTGCCCGCGGCCTTGCCGAATGTGAACGGCACACTGAACCTCTGGAGTGAGCGGTGCTGGACGTGCATCTCACCTCGGCTTGCTCGCTCTCTGCGTATTGTGGGGCAGCTCTTCTAAGAGTAAGATTGTATTTCGATGTTATTGACAGTTCTTGAAGGCCCGACACACATCTCCTGAATGTTAATGGTCCGCCGCGGCATGTTTTGAACACATCTGCTTGTCCAGTAAGCCGCTTAGGGACTTTGTAGCCTGAGCATAGTTACGTTTGGGTCAGGGCACGCAAGGATTACAGACAGATCCTGCGTCAGAGGAGAAGGTAAGAGCCTAGCGTTGAGTCCGCGTTAGGGACAGTACAGCTGCACAGCGCCTCGGGGAGGGAGGCGAGCAGTGTGGGCAGCAGGCACGGCCTCAGACTGGGCGGCGTCCTGGGGGTCCCGCGGCCGCCCCCCAGCGCCTTGCCCTCAACAGTGTTGTTGGTTAGTCACCAAGAAGTGGTATGTGCCTGTGAGCGGACTCTTTACAATTTTCAAATCGATGGTTGGTTTTGTTCCCTAATCGCAGCTGGTGCTCAGGATAAGATCGGCTGGGCCTTTGGCCTCGGGCTGGAGAGACTGGCCATGATCCTCTACAACATCCCCGACATCCGCCTCTTCTGGAGCGAGGACGAGCGCTTCCTGAGGCAGTTCCGCGTGTCCGACATCCACCAGCCGGTGACATTTCAGGTAAAACGGCTGCAGGAATCCAGTCAATAATAAAAAGATGTTTTTAAGAATTGAGGGGGTCATGTACTTGAAAATAATGCGAATTTGAAGGTAGGTTTTGTATGGAAGCCCATAAACACCCCACAGGAGTTTATACACCTTCAAAAACTGTCCGTGGAAAAAGAGATTCATCAAGCTTATGAGTCTCCGCAGACAGCCAGTTTGGGGCGTCGTTAATGGCCATTGTATTATTATGACATATCGATCTTTATATCTGATGATACTTTTGAAGGTTAGTTTTTCTGATACGAATATAGATACATTGGCTCTCTTATGATTAGTGTTTGTAATGCATCTTTCTCATTTTACTGTTGCTCTGTCTTTATATTGAAAGCATGTCTTTTATAAACAGCATAGAGTTGGGTCCTGTTTTTAAAACTCAGATTTAATTTGAGTGTTGACTACACCTTACATTTAGTATAATTACATGGGGTATTCTCGGGCTTAATTCTGTTATCTTTTTCCCCCCTGCTTCCCCCTTCTAGTCTTTATTTAATTTATTTGGAAAGTGTGGTTTTCTGGGGCGGGGGTTATTTGTTTATTTTTACATCCCATTTTAATACCCTTATTGCTACTTAGTTTCACCATTTTGTATTATTGTTAAGTGGTTATTTTAGATTACAATGTGCATAATTAATTTATCTCACTTTACCATGAATAACTATTACACAACTTCTGGAAACAGTTAACAACTTTACAATAGTGTGGTTCCTTTTACTCCGCCTGTGTTTTGAATTATCATATTTTATTTCTCTCTGTATTATAATCTCACAGTATAGTGCTCTATTTGCTTCAGAGAGCCAGTTGTCTTTTAAATAAGTTTGAAACTATAGTGTTTCTATTCCCTTGATATTTGCCCCACACTGATTATTCCTTTCTGCTCATCTTGATTTTTCTGTTATTATTTCCCTTAAGTCTGAAGAACTACTTTTAATATTTCTTGTAGCGCAACATGAGTTTTTTCAGTTTTGGTTTGTCTGGAAGTACCTTTGTTTCGCCTTTATTTTTTAGGAACATTTTCTTCGGATATGGGTGTCCAGGTTGCCACCTCTTTTGTGATCTTTTTTCCTTTTAGCCCTTGAACGACGTCATTCCCCTGCCTTTATCTGCCTGCTTCGGTTCTGAGCAGCCTGACCTCTGTGATTCTGTTACCCTGCCTGGGGTCTCACTGCCGTGGGTTGCCTCTCAGCCGCCTTTGAAATTCTCATCTCTCTTTTCCAGCAATGGTGCTCCTTTTATTTATTTTTTCCTTTTCAGACAGGAGCTTCATGTATGTCAGACCACTTGGAATTATGCCCTAGAACTCATGCCCAGGGTGTGTTTTTTATTGATTTTTTTTTCACCCTGTGCTTCATTTTGGATAGTTTTTATTGCTTATCTCTGTGTTTACTAATCTTTTCTGTTGTGTCCAGTTAACCATAGGCCCCTCCAGGGAATTAACCATTTCAGATATTGTACTTATTAGCTCTTCAGGTTCTAGGTGCTCTCCCTTAAGGGCTTTTATTTCTCTGATGAAATGCTCATCTCATCCATTTTGTACATTTTTCCTTAAGTCTTCACCATATTCATAAGAGTTATTTTAAAGTCCCTGTCTGTTCATTCCAACCGGTTAGTTCCTTATCCACTGTTTTCCTGGTGTGTTTTCCCTCTTATGGGCCACATTTCTCCTGCTTTTTCACTTGTCTCACTTTTGAAATTGTGTTTAAAAGAATACAGACACCGAAGGAGATAATATTTACCCTCAGCTAAGGGGACTGGCCAGATCACTATTTCTAGGCAGGAGCTCGGTTTCCCGTGGCTTGGCCCTGGGTGGTGAGACCCGGCCCTGCCGCAGTTGGGGATCTAGAATGTGAGATCGTACGTAGGGTCTCTGCTTTCCACCCAGTCGCTAGCCTCTCCCACACCAGCACTTGCTAAGCAGAAGTACTATGAAGGAGAGTTGACTGGCAGTGAGAACTAACAGTTTCTCCATTTTCCAGTCTGCCACACCGGCCAGTCATTGGCTGATAAGTTTGGCTCCTTTCTCCTAATTCCAGTGAAGTTTCTTAACCAAGAGCAGACCAGCTCTTCTGACGACTCGCCCCAGTGAAAGCAGCCACCAATGTCTGCTCACCCTCGGAGGCTTATCTCTCTCTGGAATTTCATTCACTTAGACTCTTGTCTAGATCTCTTCAGTATCTTTTATGATGGATAAGATTTTTAAATTTATTGCTTTTTCATTGTTACAGTGGGACTGAATTTTTTTTTTTTTTTGCAGCCTTTTGCATTCTAACCAAAAGTTAATCATTGGTTAATTCTTTGGTTTTATTTTTAATGGCCTTTTAAAAAATTCTGATTCCTCCCACCCCCTCTTCTTTGACAACCTGTCAGCTTCTTCTCCATAGCTGTGTTTGTTTCTATTTTCTTTTGTTTATGCTGTTGGCTTTAAAAAATTCTATTTTTCTAAAAAAGTAAGCTGTCTATTTTTAATCTAGTACCAGGTCCTTCTAGGTAAATTTGAAATAAAGCCCCACCTAAATAATTAAAAGTAAAACCTGCTGTGGAGCTAAGTTTTTCTCATTGAATTTTTCATTTATTAAGTCATTTATTTAATTTTCAAACATTGATGGATTACCAGGCAGCACTGTACAGAGCAGCATGCTGTGGTGTGGTGGGCAAGCGAGGAGAGTAACACAGTTGCTACCACAAGTTAGTGGCTTACTTCCAATTTTAATTGTACTCACAACTGTCTTTTCTTAGGAGACACAGAGATATCCAGGGATAGTCTTTGGGTCTCTTGTATTAAATATCATTTTAAAAAATCTATTCTGCCTTCAAAGTTGAAAATCAGTGTAACATCCTGCACTGTAATGTAATTTACATCATTGCCTTTGTGTAATAAACTTAAGAACTTCTGATGGGGCAGTTAGGATCCGATTACTGAAAAGGTACACGTCTGTAAAATACTTTGTAATAATTTGTAGCTCACAGAGAGCTATTTCCTAATTATTCACTTATAATTAGTATCTATTGATTATATTATTGGTTAGTTTCCTATGACCGATATAACAAATTACCACAAACCTAGCAGTTTAAAACAACATGTCTTTATTATTTTACAGTTGTGGCGTTCAGAAATTCAAAATCAGTCTGACTGGCTAAAATCAAGGTGTCAGCCGGACTGGGTGCTTCGCGGGGCGCTAGGGGAGAACCCACCCCTTGCCTTTGCCAGCTTCTAGGGCTGCCCTTGTCCCTCGCTCATGGCTCAGTATCACCTGTTTTCTTCTCTGTCCCTATGTGGTCATGTCCCCTCCTCTCTGAATTTTTGTCTCCCGCTTACAAGGACCTTTGGATTACATGGAGCCCACCAAGATAATTCAAGATAATCTCCACATCTCAAGATCCTTTCTTAATTACATCTGCGAAGTTCTTTTGGAAAGTAAGGTCACATGTTCATAGGTCCAGGGAGTAGGGCATGGATGCCTTTGGGAGGCCATTATTTAGCTGATCACATATCCATTCATATGTTCCATTTTCATCCTGGCCAAATGCTTGCCTTCAGGTATCAGAGAGCAGGTGTCACTTAGGTATAAGTGACGTGGATGGTATTAAAGTGTTGGTATTGAACTATTTGTGCAGAGTAGTCATGCTTATGTATGTGAGGGGAATAAGTGACTCACTTTGTCACTTACTGTTGTTGGCTTGTCTTAAGAAGATTTAACATGATTATTATATAAGACTGTTCCCCAGAGGGGAGGAGAGGAAACGTGGGGGGAAAGGTCTGTCCGCAGCTGTGAGCTTGTGGCTTCTCTGGCCAGGAAGCTCTGGGCGCCCTTTGGGAATCGTATTTGCAGGGCTGGCAGGAGGTGGAAATGTCTCTCCTCTCCTCTCCTTCAGACCCTCCTAGGTTATGCTTCAGGCCCTCCTGGCTCCTGTGGCATCTTCCTCTGCACCGTGTCCGCGGTCTTGTAAATCCCTCTACCCAGCTGTGACGGTGCTCTCTAGGTGCTGGCAGTAGTCTGACTTATATTACCCCGAGGCCTCATCTCTGCCATTTCCTAAGTACCCTGGAAACTGTTGTTGAAGTCTAATAAGTAGAAAACTCAACTTATGGTGTGGTTTTAACTCTTGTTTTTTTACTGTACATGTTTTGAGTTAAGTGCTTGCTTTTTGTGGCTCTCTTTACCCAACCTGCGTCAGTGCTCGAAATGAGTGGATGAGCAGGCTGATGGCTTTGTCATGCAAGTGTTGTCTTGTTCTGTGCAAGAGATCTCTGTCCCCCACTCCAGCTCCCCCTGCTCGGCTCATCTTGGGCCCTTGTGGGTATGTCTGCCACCTCCCCTAAAGTAAAACTCACTGTCTCAGTGCATTGAATCGAATATTCAGTAATCTAACTTTAGTTCATTCTTTAAGTGTTCTTTAAACAATTATGAATTCAATATTTAGTCCTATACAGACTGATACTTGTTATTGAAAATTATTCATTAATCAACATTGTAAATTTTATTCACATATTTTACTTATTAATTTCATGTGTGTCCATAGTTGTTCAGCAAGTCAGTCCCCATTTGATGAGGTAAATCAATAATGTCAGTTGTTACCTGTCTTCCCAGGGAAGGAGTTTTATTGGCTCTTTCGTGGGCAGGGACTATGGTTATTTCTTATCCTGGATAATATCTTGAATACTTTCCACTACAACAGGAGTAGCTGAGAATGGGTGGGTGGTGACATGCAAACCTGTCATATCCAACCTTATTCAAGATCATAATAATCTTAGTTAGTGATTAACACTCAGTTGAGCCTTGTTCTGTGTTCAGCATTATTCTGAAGGCTTCATGCGTCTTAATTTAGTCCTCTGAATAACCCTGTGGGTTTAGGGGCTATTATTCTGTCCGTGTCACAGATGAGGAAAGGGTAGCTGAGAGGTCCCTGAGCATTAGCACTGTGTTCATTCGGGGCTTCAGAGAGCCATTTCCTCAAGT